AGATCATGTTTAGAGCCATGGAGTGCCCCCAGGCCCCGGGGTGACTGATACATCCTTAATAGCATTTAAGGGGTCTGTTTGCTTGTCCCCAGAAACATTAGTAAGGCATGTATGTGCTCTAGACTGCCTGGGCATTAGAATTGGCATATTACTTTTGGCATCCTAATTAATTCCTCCCTGATGGTTGGCAGTGGGGGGATGCATGTGCTGTGTTCAGGGTACATACAGCAAAGACCTGAGAACACTACCTGTGTTCAGTTTTACAAGTTAGTGTGGTAGCCTGTTAGCCTCACTGGAAAGTCCCTTATGAAGTTAGGACCTCCCCTGGGAAGGAAGCCAGTTTAGCATCCCTACTAGAAAATCACAGTAGATAAAGCAGTTAGTTGGCTTATGATAAGGGCCATATTCCTGAGGAAATGCTAGCTTTGAACTGCCAGAAGCCAAAATGAGATACCCGGGAAGAGATTTGTGTTTGGCATTACATACCAACCCCAGAGGGTGAACTAATTTTTTGGGTGGTGCCAGGCTCTGTGACTGCTAGGCAGGTAAGTGCTCTTTACCTAAGTTATATATTCAGCCCGACACCTCCCTCCCCTTTTGTTTTTGTAGACATGGTCTAACATGTAGACCTGATGGGCTGGAACTCACTGTGTGTGTGCACAATATGAGTTTGCCTAGTATTTTGGGAGGATGTAAGAAGGAGTCAGATCTCATGTAACTGGAGTTATGGTAGTTGTAAGGCACCTTGTAGGGCAGCCCATGTGCTTTGCCAGAGAAGTGCTCTTAACAACGGAGTCATTTCCAGCCCCAGTGTGCAAGGGGACAGTTCCCCTGTACCATTCATCCCCGGGCACCCAGGTAATGGGCAGTAATGACAGGGCTCATTTCCAGGCCCTGGCTGTGGGTCCAGGCAGGAGTTTTGTGGGATACTGATGTGCTTTTGGGAAGGTGTGCTGCCCACCTTTCAGACACTGGCTTCTGAGGCACTGCTCATGCCCTGGGGGAAGGTCTGAGGTAGTTAATCATTGTCAGCTCTAGGCAGCAGGTCTGCTTGGACTCATGTAGGAAGAGGGCACACTCCTGTCTGGCTTCTGGTGACCCAGTTAGGGCCTGTCTGAGGGACTGAAGTCCAAGGCTGTGTGAGAACCCACCACAGACCCTGCATGAGGTCATGCATGTCCTTGCTTTAGGCCTCTGACTCCACCCCAGCTCCTGACTGCATGCCTCCCCCTCACCGTGTGCCTTGAGGGAGTGAATCCTCAAGCATCCCACTAGGGCTCAGCCTCCCCACTCATGGCAGGCCACTCAGATTACTTAGTGACACTGATGTGGTCTGGGGGGAAATGCCCCTTCTGAACACAGTCCAGCAGCTTTCCTGAAAGTCTGCCTCTCTGGCCTCAGGAACTGGCCACAGTCAGCTAGTTTGTTCTACCAAGTCATGGTGCCTTGCTGATGGGACTGGATCAGACACTTCCCTAGTCTGTGGGGAGCCAAGAGAGTCCTTGTGTTGAGAAACAAGTCCCAGCACTGGGCCATGTCGGACAGAGGAGTCTCATCTTCTGTTTGTCTGTGTAAGAACAGCAGATCTAATGTACGGGATTAATCAGCCAAGGATCTTGATAAAGTTTAAAACCCTGGTGGAGCAGGTTAGTTAGGTTCAGCCTGAGACTGAGACTGTAGCTAATGCCTGCATATCAAGTCCAAGGGACTGGCTCTGGCCTACCGATGTAATGAGGTCCACATGCCCAGTTTGCAGAGTGCTCGTGCTTAGGCAAGAACAAAGGACGCAGTATATATGGTCTCCCTTGAGTAAATCACAACTACACCCTTGGGGGCCACAGGGCCTGTTCACTCTGAGCTACACAGCACCCCCGGTGGACAAGAAGCCTATCTTGTACTCTGGCAGCAGCACTAGGTGCTGCTTCTAGAAGGTTCTCTGGGTAGATAGCCTTTCCTGGTGAGTGTTTGAAACAGGAGCAAGGAAACCAGATGGGCAACTGCTCTCTAGGCAGAGTTCCTGAACTGTATGTGGTGAGTGACTTCCTTGCGCTGTACAACGTGAACAGAGGGGATGAGTGATATTCCAGGCCTGCTGCAACCTGATGCCTGGGGATAGCTGTCAAGTCAGTTGAAACTCAGAAACTTACGACAATATGCGCACCTTTAATTCTAGCACTCAGGAGAAAGAGGCAGACAGTTCTGAGTCCCGAAACGGACAGTCAGGGCTACATAGAGACCCTGTGTCAAAGAAACAAGCGACACAAAAAGCAAAGGACAATAAACTGAAAAACCAAATAGTAACAGATTGTGTGTGTGTGTGTGTGTGTGTGTGTGTGTGTGTGTGTGTGTGTGTGAGAGTGTGAGTGTTACTTGATTATACAGTTCTCATGCCTGAGACTTGTAGTTAACATATTTCCGTGTCAAGGGTGAACACACACCACTTGAAGGAGCATGGCTCATAAAGCAAGCCACGCTTACTTCATGCCTCCCGTTCTGAATACTTCTGAGACTGGTAACGGCTAGGTGTTCAAAGCCAGCCTGCGTTGTCTAGGAATTCTTGGATACAGTAGAACCTGTCTGTCATACAATGAAAAAGCAAACTTCACTGTCATTTCCTGAGGGTATAAAAGCCTTTTTGTCTATATTGAATTCTAGACTCACTTATAATCCTGTTATTTAAAAAGATTGATTTATTGTGGTTGGTGGGTGTGTCGGCTGCATAAGTGTTGGTGTATGTGCCCAGTGACTCCAAAGGTTGTGAGATCCCCTGGAACTGCAGTGACAGAGAGGACTGTGAGCCACCACACTGGAGGAAGAGCGGCAAGCCAATGCTTTTGACCACTGAGCCTTCTTTCAAGCTTTTACAATTATTTATCAGGGTCTTACGATGTTGCCCTGGCTGGCCTGGAACTTGCTATGTAGACCAGCCTGGCCTCAGATTCATAGGGATCTGCCTGCTTCTGCCTTCTCAGTGCTGGGGTTATAGGTTTCAAGTAGATTTTACTATGGCCCAGGCTGACATTTTTTGTTTTGTTTTTGTTTTTTGAAGGCAGGGTTTTCCCCTATAGCCCTGGCTGTCCTAGAACTTGTTCTGTAGAGCAGGCTAGCCTTGAACTGCCTCTGCTTCCCAAGTGTTGGGATTAAACGTGTGTGCCATCAATGCCCAGCTTCGATTTTAACCCATGAAGCTATTGTTCCTTAGCATACCAAGTTCTTGGATTACAGATGTGAATAACCATAGATAACTTTAATTTTCTCATGGTAGGAAAAATTCCCTAAAGGTTTGGCTGTACAAATATTCTGTTAACCTAGCTGTATTTCCTCCCTTGGTGTGATTTTTTTTTTCCATTTAATTTAAAAAAATTATTTGTTTTGGTTTTGGTTTTTTAAGACAGGGTTTTTCAGTGTTGTAACAGCTCTGGCTGTCCTAGAACTCGCTTTGCAGACCAGGCTGGTCTTGAACTCAGAGATCCACCTGCCTCTGTCTCCCAAGTCCTGAGATTACAGGCATGCGCCACCACACCTGGCCTACAATTTAATTTTTTTATCTACTCGTGTGTACACAGGCGCTTGCATTTGTCAGGACAATGCAGGCATCGCTCCATCATGTGAGTTTGGGCATGGAAATCAGGTTCCAAGTCTTCATGGCAAGCACCGACAGTGACAGCCGTCTCCCTCACTCGAACGTGATTTTTCCATTCTACTGTTTCCTTTTTACAGCTTAGAGCCGGCCGGGGTCACTATTTTACATTCACGATGTTTTGCAGTGACCGTCCTCTAACTCTGGTTCCTGAAGTGCTGGGCAAGCGCTGTACTGGGACTGAAATACATCCTCGGCATCCTTCGTCTCTTGAGGCAGCACCTACCTGTATCCCAGGCTGCCCTCAACCCTTCCTCAGGTTCCCCGGTGTTTCTGCTGTGGGGAGCATGCTGCATTGTGTGGAAACTTCGGGCTCTTTCCTGGTGCACCACTACCCTCTTCCAGAATGGGCTCACAGCTGGCTGACTGTGAGAAAGCTACAGTCTCTGCTTTTTTTTTTTTTTTAAGACAAGATCTTACACTGTAGCCTTGTGTGGCCTGAAGATCCATCTGCCTCTGCCTCTCCTGAGTGTAGGGATTAAAGGCTTGTACAGGTTTCCTGGACAGGTACAGGTTCTTACATGGACACATGCCTAACTGGTACCCACAATGTTGTGTGAGCCGGGGCAGAGGTCACACAAGCCTAGGGACCCTTCAGTGAGGACCTGGCTCACTGTCTCAGCTGGCTTACTAGAGAGACAGCAATGGGAAGACCAAGTCCTGGAGGTGGAGTGAGGCCACAGCAGGTCAGGCTGTCACTCCCCATGACTGCCACAGCCCTTTGCCACTGCCTTCCCTGTATCCTTCCTTCCCTTCAGAACTTGGGGTTCACCCCCAGCTGATGAGGGAGGGAGTGAGTGACAGGCCAACTGACCAATGGGCCCCAGAGGATGGGCTGGGGTGGGGCTTCTGCTGCCATGGAGAGGAGAGAAGCCTGTCTGAGAGGAGGGTCAGAGGGAAGGAGACCTGGAGACAGAGCAAACAAAGGGGTCATGAGGAAAAAGAGTGCACTGGCTTCTTGAGGCTCTGCAGAAGCTGAGCAGGGAGAAAGGGCCGGGGACAGATGGGAACCTAGGGTGCTCAAGCATGCCCAGGCAAGCGTGCCCTAAATGGAACTGTTAGAAGCGTGGGCCAATTGCAGAGCAGCCCTAGCCTCAGACCCCAGCCTTAGCACCATCCTCCTGCTCTGTTCTGGGGTCTGGCATCAGGGGCTTTGAATCCACCTAGCCAGCCACATGGAACCAAGTTCTGAGCCTCCAAATTTGGTGAGCAGGCAGGCTATTGGGAGAAGTCTGAAGGGAACATGGGTAGGATGTCATCCTCAGAGTGGGCCATGGGGTCTCTTGGGCTGGGAATAGAGAACCGTGGTGTGAAACAGAATGTTCACTCAGGCCCCCATTTCTCCTGATCTCTTCCACAGGAGACAATGAAGGGAGACAGCAGACATCTGAATGAGGAAGAGGGAGCCAGTGGGTGTGAGGAATGTGTCATCGTCAACGGGAACTGCAGCGACCAGTCCTCAGACACTAAGGATGCTCCCTCACCCCCAGTCTTAGAGGCAATCTGCACAGAGGCGGTCAGCACACCAGAGAGCCGAGGTGGGTGTCAAAGCTCTGACACAGCAGCTTCATGACCGGTCTCAGTGGAGACAGCTCATTGCTTCTCTTCTGGTGATATGGGCTTCATAATGATCAGGAGATGCTGCCCACTTGCCTCTTGCTCTTAGAAGTTCACAGACTCCCCGAAAGTCCTTCCCCACTGGTTTGGAGCCCTGTATTACCCTGACATCTACAATGTCCATTAGGACTTTCTGAAATGGATAAAAGTGACCTATTTTCCTGTTCAACCCAAGAGCTACTAGGCCACATGGGAACATTTGAAATGTAGCCAGTGTCAACCAGTTTCATGGAATGGGCTGTGAAGGGATGGGCTAGCGTGTGAAGAGGAAGGCATAAACCAGGCCGTGTGTGTCCCTTTGACCTGTGTCGTCACGGAGATCACGAGGGGCACTGACTTCCTAAAATGACTGGTTTGGAGTTGGCCCCGGACAGACTGTTGAGGATGCATTTTAGCAAGGACACTCTCCAGGTTGGTGACCACTGTCCTACTTTGCAAACATGGATTCCTGGCTCTTCCTCGCAGGCCGCAGATCAAGCTCCCGGCTGTCAAAGAGGGAGGTCTCCAGCCTGCTGTCTTACACTCAGGTACTGTCTCTGCTCTTCACGTGGTTTGCACCTTTCTTTCAGTTTTGATTGCGTGAGAAATAAGACAAATGGAATTCTTTATTCCACAGGCAAGTCTTTTATTCAAACCTTCCTGTGCGTTTGCAATTATGTCTGTCATCACTGAGTGTACTAACAGAAAAAAACTCACTCATTTCTGCAGTGGGCTCGTCTTGGCCATGGTGTGTTATGGTTTGTTTGAGACAGTGTGTGGCTGGCCTGGATGTCACTGTAAGCCAGGATGTCCCATGTCTTCTCACATGTGCTGTGAATAAGTTGAGGATGCCAGGCAGGCAGCATTCTGCATTTCCATAACTTGCGGTTGGCCTGGGATTCAACCCAATTTGGATTTGTGAACATATGATTAGCAGGTGTGAAATTTCACTGAAGCAAAACCAGGTGATGATAGGATGTATTTTGGGGACTCCTAGGGTAATGTCAGTTTAATGATGCTTCTGTGTCATTGATTCCCTTAGCTCATCCTTTTTCCTTACCACAGGACTCAGCAGGAGATGGAGATGGTGACGGTGACACAGAGGATGGGGATGGCTCTGACATTGTAATGCCAAAGCTCACGCGTGAGACCAAGGAGACCAGGTCACCCTCTGAAAGTCCAGCTGTAAGTCCCACCTGCTGAGCCCAGGCACCTGCCACCGGTCAGTCATTTAATCAGAAAAAATTTTGGACGCATTTTGTGTGGTGGATGTATGTAGGTCAACGACAACTTATGAGAGAGAGTAGGTTATCACCTTCCAGCATGTAGATTACAGGGACCAAACTCAAGGGTTGGCAGTCTTCGACAAGTCCCCTAATCCACTGAGCTCCTTGGTTAAGTTTTGATATCCCTGAGCCACAACAGGATAATTCAGATCATAACTTGAACCTCAAGGTAAAAATGACATTTGGTAAGAGTGAAGAGCAGATGAGCCATGGCCGTTTGACACACCGAACACGGCACCAAGAGCTTAATGAACAAAACCACTTAGGTTTTGGTTATCATCAACATTTCCTGGTTACGGTTCCTTTGAGGAGGCCTTCACAATCATTGCTTTTCCTGCTAAGACTCCAGGGGACTGAATTAATGTCACCAGTGCAACAACGGACACACACTGTGTGATCAGGGTTAAGTGAAGATCCCTGCTGATGCCAGCGGATGAGCTGTAGCCTGGGTGTGTGGAGCTCCTGGAGCACTGGAGCCTGGGAGCTGGAGGCAGGACCAGTCTTGCAGGACATGGTTGGCTGTAATCATAGTCCTCTGAGCTACCTTTCTTGAGTGATGCATTGCAGGCATGCAGCATCACACCTGGTTATCTGTGGGCTGCAGCTTAAGCCCAGAGCTTATATGAAATAAGCATTCTATCAGTTAGGTATATTCACAACTCTCAAATGATTTCGACTTTGGAAAACATCTGCTAACCTCAGTCATTGCTGGTATTTTATTTATTCAACATGCCATTTCTTTCCTGTGAGAGATAACACATTCATTTGTGACCACCGTGGATGGATATGTAGTTTTCTGGGTGGATGACTGAGTTGCCTGTTGCTTATGTGAGTCATTTTCTTCCATTACTCTATGCCCTGGCTCAAGAAAACATTGAATGGGTGAGTTCTAATCCACCCTTGACCAGAGAGGAATGATATGCTATCTCAAACAAAACAAACATATGTCAGTCAGAACAAAAAACAAAGAGTTATTGAAATGGAAAGTCACAGCGCATGGCAGCTACTGTAATATCACCTTCTATGAATTTGTACTCTCCTCATTTTACACATAGGAGAAGATTCCAGTTCGGCGCTGTTTTTTGACTGAATTTGGGTCTCAGGCTTTCCTACCTCGGTCTCTTTAATGCTGGGATTACAGGCAGGCAATGAATGCCACGTGTGACTAACCATCAACTGGTGTTGAGAATTTGAATAAGTGGCAGCAACAGGCAGCTTGACACCATTCTGAGAAAGCTGAGCTTTCCTGAGCTTGCCCCATCCAGGGCTTTCCTAAATAAGCCAGTATTTAGGCTTGAGCTTTTTGGAATAACGCTGGACTTAAGGTGTGTTGTGTCCCATTTGGGGACCGAACAACCCTTTCACAGAGCTCGTATATCAGATATCCTGCATATCAGATATTTAGGTTACAATTTGTAACTGTTGCAATGAAATGTTTTTATGATTGGGGTCACCACAGCACGAGAAACAGTATTAAGGGGTCACAGTATTAGGAAGGTTGAGAACCACCGGTTTAAGGCAAACAATTGCTTAATCACTATTTGCTGCTGCCAGTTTGGGTAGTCAGATCTGTGTTGTGACATGGGACAGTGTGATTGGCTCCTTCAAAGATGTCCTCGTTAAAGGGTTCCCTGAGTTTATATCCAATTGTCTTCTTCACTTCAGCAGGTCAGCCTGAGGCTTCCTTAAGGCCCAATCCCTTTGGGAGCCCTTATTGACCCCCTGCATCCAGTCACCTACGGCCCAGTGTTTATCCTTTCTTACTTTCAGGTGCGAACCCGAAATAGCAACAGTACCTCCAGCCTGGAGAGGCAAAGAGCCTCCCCTAGAATCACCCGAGGCCGCCAGGGCCGCCACCATGTGCAGGAGTACCCCGTGGAGTTCCCAGCTACCAGGGTTGGTCCTATCTCTGATTGCAAGATCTGCCTGTTCACTCACTTGCACAGAACTGCCTGTTGTGTGCATATAACACAACTCTGCTTCCTTCACTCGCACCTGCCTTCCAGGGTCTGGCTTCTTACTTTCTTTTCTGACTCATCATACTTGGAACTACTTCGAGGAGGCAGGAGTTCCCAATTGCTTAGGTCTCTGGCCCCCTTGGAGATGAGCTGAAAGCCACTGGTGTCTACTCTGCATGTCTCTTGTGTCTTTCCCTGCTGTCTTGAGGCAACTCCAGCAGGTCCAGAACATCCTCCTTCTGTTTCCAGATGTACAGGAGCCAGTTCCCCAGAGACCCCGCCCTCTCTGAGCTCAGCTTCAGAGCCTCTGGTCGTAACCTGTCATTGCACTCACACTGTTTATTCTGTCTTCTCTCTGCCTTGGGGTCCAATGACTGCCAGTTCCTGTCCCTGTAACCCTGTCTTCTGGGGTGCTGGTTTGTTTTCTCGTTCTTGTTGATTCTCTGGGAACTTTTTGGAGGATACTGTTTGTGTACCCCCTTCTGCTTTGCTTCACTGGGTCTCAGTCTTGTCCTTCCATCGGTAGTCTCGGAGACGTCGAGCATCATCTTCAGCAAGCACACCATGGTCATCCCCTGCCAGCCCTTACCCCAGCATTGACCTCATAGAAGAAGTGACACCTCAGAGCAGCAGTACCCCATCGATTGACCTGAGCCGGGACAGCCAGCAGGAGAGCATGGATGCCACACAGCTGGATGCAGATAGCAGAGATGGAGACAGCACTGAGTATCAGGTACCACTGAGGAGGGATTTGGGCCCAGGTTTGCACAACATGCAAAGTATGGGGGAAAGAGAACTGTAAAAATTATTGAGTGACCAAATGATTCCCGGTGCCCCCCCCCCCCCCTCTTTTTTAAGACAAGGTTTCTCTATAACAGCCCTGGCTGTCCTGGAACTCACTTTTTAGACCAGGATGGCCTCGAACTCACAGATCCTTCTGCCTCCCAAGTGCTGGGATTAAAGGCGTGGGCCAGGACCACCTGGTATTTTATTTCTGTTTTTTAAAAGATAGTTTTATAGCACACACATTTAATCATAAAACCCATGAAGCAGAGGCAAGCCTGATCTACAGAAGTTCCATGCTAGGGCTATATAGTGAGACATTCTCTCCCCCCCCCCCCCTCAAAAAAAAAGGTTTTGTGTAGCCAAGGATGACCTCCAAATCCTTGTTCTGCTGAATGCTGGGAGTATATAAAAACCAGCTTATTTTTCCTGGACATCTTTTTGTATGTACCACTGAGCTATTTCTCAAACTCATGCATCACATGTTATGGCCAACCTTTTTTTCTTGCCCGTGATCAGGGAGGTTTCTCAGGTTTCACCTGCCTTGGTGACTGCAGTTCATTCTGTTGGTTCTTCTTCCAGGATGATAAGGAGTTTGGAATAGGTGACCTCGTGTGGGGAAAAATCAAGGGCTTCTCCTGGTGGCCTGCCATGGTGGTATCCTGGAAAGCTACCTCCAAGCGCCAGGCCATGCCCGGCATGCGATGGGTACAGTGGTTTGGTGACGGCAAGTTTTCTGAGGTGAGGCCATGGCAAGGTACGCTCTTTGTACCTGAGGCCTTGCTTCTCTTGGGGGTGGCTCTGAGGTCAACTTTCTGTACATGGATGCGTTAAGTTTGGCACTGGGACCAGAGTAAAGAAAAATGCTTCTTGGGTTACTTGTCTTAAACGCCTGCTTGTGGGTCAGAGATAAGCCGCTTTCTCTTAGTGAAAGGGTCTCAGGGTAACCGTCTGGCCCATACCTCAGTGTGTACCATAGTCTGGCTTTGAACTCTTACCTGCCTGGTCTGCTGCCTGAAGCCACACCTGTGACTAGTCTACTGGAAGATGGTGTAGCATTTAGAAAGGTAACTCACTTACATCTGGCTGCCCACACTCCCGAGCCAGGTTTCTAATGCCCTGCTGTGGCTTCTGTGGGTAGCTACACACACACACACACACACACACACACACACACACACACACACGCACGCACGCACGCACGCACGCACACACGCACCCCGTGTATTGTGAAACACCTTAAGCAAACCTTGTCTACACAGAAAAGCTGCATAAAGAAACCCTGTCTCACTTAAAACAAAAAAGACAGTATGAACTTCTAGTATTAGCAATTTAAAATGAATCTTTTAGCAACTTAAAATGAGTCTTCCTTTCTAATGAGAGTCTTCTGGGGCTAAATTAGAGATTTTATTTTGTGTCTTTGAAGTGCTGTGGATCCAACCCATGTACCTCACGTGTGCAAGACAGGTTCCCCCATCTCATCAGCCCACTTTTGACTCTTCACTGCTAAACACATGTTCCAAGATCTGCTTTAAAATGTTTTTTTACCAGTATGGGTGTTTCCCTACATGTATTTCTGTACACCATGGGAGGCCAGAGGAAGGACTTCCGATCTGTAGATCTCATGGATCTTGATTCTGGGCTTAGTGACAGTCCTGAGCTACCATGTGGGTGCTGGGAGTCTAACCCAAATCCTTTAGAGGATGAACCACTGTGCTCTTAACCCCTTAACATTGTCTAGTGCTCTGCAAAGATTTTGTTTTGAGTGATGCAGAATGGATTTCCTGGGGTTTCCTTAGAAATGTCAGTGTTAGGCCAATGCCCAGCCATAGACAGGAGTTCCTGAGATACAGCAAGCAGGTAAGAGTGAAGTCGCATTTAGGACTTTGGTTCAATTCAAGTTGTGTTTCTTTGTATCCTACATTTCCCTGGGTAAGAATAATGAAATCTGATGAGAGACTACATGCAGTTGTCCTGTTTCAACAGCAGAGGGAGCAGTAGGACTTGTGACTTGGGCCTCTGCTGGTCTGTCCTTTTTTTTTTTTTTTTTTTCTTGAGACAGGGCTTCTCTGTGTAACAGCCCTAGCTGTCCTGGACTAGCTCTGTAGACCAGGCTGGCCTTAAACTCACAGAGATCCGCCTGTCGCTGCCTCCCAAGTGCTGGGATTAAAGGTGTGTGCCACCACTGCCCGGTTCTATGCTGGTCTTTAAAGTATCAAACTACAGGGATATTGTAGTTTGATTACTTTGATCCACTGAGACATACTGGACTCATTTCTAGACAGGGTCAGATGGCAATAAGGGGTAGTATGGCGATGATAGGATTATAGGAAGGCCAAGACCTGCCCAGAGCCTGTAACGTAGTACCCACTGGGTTCTTTCTTATGCATGTCACCCATGGTGGCCACACCACAGAGTTGAGGCTCTGAACATAGGATGGGGCTGAGTGTGAAAGCAAGCATTGCATCCTGGACATCCCCTATCTACAGTTGTGATAAGCAGCCTGAGTCACCTCATTTTATCTTTGCACTCACTAGGAATCCCACCCACAATTCATTTCTGCATTGGCAGAAGGCAATTTGCCTTTAATGATCAAAACATAAGTTATACAGTCATTGTGAGTGTTAAGAACTCAAGCATATTTTCAGCCTGAGCAAGGTGGGAACTTACTGATTGGGTGTCAACGTTATCACGCAGGAAGGCATCCAATTATCCTTCTCACCCACATGTGGAGTTTCTCAATGCCAAATCTGCTCTGTGTGCTGTTTCTCCTTTGCCCTTTATTTTTCAGGACTGGCATCTGTAAGTTCTCACTAGATTGGGCTCTGGATGAACGAGTGCACGTTAAGCTCAGGTGTGGGTCGATCATAGTTACGTTTTTCTCTCCTAGGTCTCAGCGGACAAGCTCATGGCTCTGGGGCTCTTCAGCCAGCACTTTAACCTGGCCACCTTCAATAAGCTGGTTTCTTACAGGAAGGCCATGTACCACACTCTGGAGGTAACATGGCTGTGGGTGTTAAATAGGGCGTCGCCCTATAGGCAGGGACGAAGAAACCTGCTGAGGGAAAGCAGGTAGAAGGTGTCCTTCAAGACTGGCTTGGAGGTTGAGGCACCAAGAAAGTGGATGGGGAAAGATGGGTTCTGACCTCGACTGGGTTAAATTGGTTCCAAGGGGGTCACTAGTAAGTGGCTAATACTGATGAAATAGGTGTGACAGGATGACTCCTGCCTTGGGTGGTCACATAGTCATACTGCTAAAAAGGGCCTTTTACCAACCTGTGAACAGGATTTCGAGGGATAGAGGAGGTAGTAGCTAGTTTTCTCTTAATATAGTTTGTAGACATTTGTTTATTCCTCAGAATCATTAGGCTCTTCCACTCCCTCCCTATAACTCTACCAACCTTTGTGCCATGTAGGCAAGTGCCTAAATAATATGTACAGATTCTTTTGGCCCTTGAAACAATGGATGTTTGGCTACATCCCTAGTCTTAATCCAAAGGTAGTCTTCCCAGACAAGCTATTGGAAATGGGGATGGAACAGCCTGAGGCTTGCTTCTACATCTTAAGAGCTCAGCTTAATCAATCTCTTTTAGGGATCTGAACATGCATGGTGCCTATAGGGAAAGATATCTGCCACTCATGCCCCCCTTTCTATTGTTTCCTAACCTGACCCTCAAGCAGGCCCCTGTCACATAACATAGCCCAAGGACAGCTGTCCAGCTCTGAAAGACACCAGTGTTTGGGGAATACAGGCCTCAGTAGGAGGAATCCCTGGGTTCACCCTGGCACATACCTCATTCGCCTGCTCCCATTCATGGACAGACTTTGCCTTTATTTGTGTCTTGGCAGAGAGCCAGGGTGCGAGCTGGCAAGACCTTCCCCAGCAGCCCAGGAGACTCACTGGAGGACCAGCTGAAGCCCATGCTGGAGTGGGCCCATGGTGGCTTCAAGCCCACTGGCATTGAGGGTCTCAAACCAAACAACAAACAACCAGGTAGGAATGAATATATGCCACTGCTGATGGTCTAGCCCTCGGCCACACTGGCAGCCCCAGCACTCTCACTGGGCCAACTCAAGCAAGGCCTACTTGTGCCCTGTGGACCCCAGGGCTCTTAAAAGCCTCTGAAAACTCGAGGGCCGCTATTACCTGCCTTGTCAGGCTTCCGATGTGCAATTAACCTTTTCCACAAGTCCAAATTCAACCTTTACCTTTGTGGCCATTTTTTTCTTTAAAATAAAAAATAGATAAATAAATTTGGCTACCTGTCATTTTGACAGGTTTCTTATCTCCCTAAATATACTCATGATTCAACATAATGAAGTGAAGGATGGACCCGAACAGCCCTATATCTAATACAATGTTTTTGTTTTGTTTTCCTGCAAAAGTGGTTAATAAGTCGAAGGTGCGTCGTGCAGGCAGTAGGAACTTAGAACCCAGGAGACACGGTATTCCCTTGCCATCTTTGAAGGTTCTGTTTTCTTTGCTCTGTCCTGCGATTTCTTGGCATCTATGGTGCTCACTGGAGAAGAATCAAGTCTCCTAAGCTGATAAGACTCCTTCACCCTCATTCCCCCAACCTACCTCACTTACCCTCGGGCTAACCATGGGTGCACATCCAACCTTCCACACTCTTTGGGTTATCACCTTCTCTCTTGTTTCTTAAAATTAATGACATATAAGCACTGACAATGGTCACTTTGTCATCAAAAGCTCTCGGAATTTTGGTGTGTTTTAAATATTTATCTTTGTTTTTGTGTTTATTTATGTTTGGAGACGTGTGACGATCAGAGGACAGTGTTCAGGAGTATAGTGTAACTCTTGGGGGACTGGTTATCATACCAGATTGCTAGACTTAGCTGCAAACACATTTACCCACAGAGCCATCTTGCTGGCCGTGTTTTTGTTTCTGGCCTCACCATATACCCCAGGCTGGATTTCAGGATAGGAGTGTGTCATTACACATGCTTTCCTTATGGATTTTGATGGGTTTAAAACTTCATTTCCTGGCTAGGCCATAGCAGCGCATTCCTTTAATCCCAGCACTCAGGAGTCAGAAGCACGTGGGTCTCTGAGTTTGAGGCCAACCTGGTCCACACAGCTAATTCAAGGACAGGCATCCTACACAGAAAAACCCTGTCCCAGCATAAAAAATTATTTCCTTAGTTGGAGGAGTCAAATTTAATCCTTTGTATTATGAGTCAATATAAAAACACTAGGATGTGAGCCACAATAAAATTTATTTTTTTTAAGCAGGGTCTTACTATAGCCCTTAACAGTTCTAGAATCTTCTATGTAGATTTGGGTGGTCCTGAATTTCCTGTCTGTGCTATCTGAATGCTGTCATTAAAGGCATGTACTATCACTCAGCAATACAGAAAATCAATAATTTTCTAGTAATGGAACAACTGAAATTAATAATTATACATTTAGTCTACTTTTAAATTATTGCTTATTATAAAAATTAAAATATTTCAGTTTTTTAGTGATGTCTTGAGTTATATATTGGTTAATAGATATCACCTAATTAGTCATTGATTATTAAATGCACATTGACTAATATTATAAAATTGACTAAAATAGATTCCATTGTTTAAGTTATAATTGGACCAATCAATGGCTTCACTTGATAATTTGGACCTGACTTTCAGTGTGAAATCCTGTCCCTCCTGACATTTCAAATACTCAGTAGCTCTATGCTCCCACTGGGCATTGTCCTGGGTATCACTGTAGGAACCTCAGAGTTGCAGCCATGGTCCAGCATGTGCTCTGGGCAGGCTCTAGAAGGATGGATTCTCTTACACATTCAGATGTGTAAACCCCATGAACACGAGTCTGTCCTGCTTCCCGGGTGAGAGGAGCTTTGAATTGGCTTCTGCTCTGGGTTCCCCTCTGGGGTTGTCTACACCCATCACTGTCCTCTGCTCTAGATGCAGCTGGATCCCAGACGAAGCATGGTCTTGTCCTAGGCCTGCCTTGTCTCTTAGACCTTCAGTCACATCCGTCTGCTTCCCCTCCAGAGAACAAAAGTCGAAGACGCACAACCAATGACTCTGCCGCTTCTGAGTACTGTCCCACACCCAAGCGCCTCAAGACAAACAGCTATGGAGGGAAAGACCGAGGGGAGGATGACGAGAGCCGAGGTGATTTGGGTGCCGGAAGGTCTGGCCATGCATGGTGCAGGACCAGGAGCAGCAGGTCCTCTGTGGGGTACAGAGGTGCACGGCTGCGTGGGAGAGGAGAGACTTCCCACCTCCTCACACCTGTCCCTCTCTCCTCAACAGAACAGATGGCTTCTGACGTCACCAACAACAAGGGCAATCTGGAAGGTACTGTCGTCTCCTGGCCCTCCCTTCAGGGGTGCCCCAGGCCTGCCTTAGCCTGGCTTTGACCATCTGCATGGGTTTAATCCAGAGCCTTGTGCATTGTCCTAGATCAGGACCTATTCCTGCTCCCTGTGTATTAGTTCCTAAATTCATTAGGCCAAGTAATCTGATTTTGTCCCTGAGGTTACTGAACGGAGGTCACAGAATGGGACAATGGGGGCTCTGCCATTGGCCAAACATTGGTGCCTTGAGCTTTCCATGAACTGCCTCGATGTTGTCCTGGTAACAGCTTTTCCTTGCATTCATTTTGGCTCAGAATCAACCTAATGGCGTTTTCAATTTTCAAGGAACTGTTTATTTGCCTCCCCAACTTCATGACCCTTAGTCCTTAGTGACAGTTACTTAGTATTGGGTGAGAAACTACGTCCCTGGACCTGGGAAATGTTTGTCAGTAAAGTGCTTGTGGGTGAAACAATACCTGTGCTGCATTCCTGTAGAAACCATGGGAAAAAGCCGAGCTGGGCATGAGAAGTCTTTGTAGTAAGACTGACTGACTACAATCCCTGGTCAAGAAGAGTTGCCGCCTGTCCTCTTGACCGATGTCTGTGAGCACATAAACTGAGTGAATGCCACAGGAAAGAGTTTCTTAAAAGTGGGGTTTGTTCCAGTAGCATGGACCTGCTGAGACAGAGAGGAGTTGCCAGCAAGGTTTCATTAACACCGTGCAGGGTAACGTGCTTCCCGGATGAGTGTGAGGACCTGAGATTCTTTTCCCACAACAGCAATAAATAAGCCAGCTTCTACAGTCCTGGGGCTTCTGCAGGGAGATAGACGGCAGGTCAATACAAGAGACTCCATGGGACAGTAGTGTCCGGGCACAGCAGTGATACACATTGTGCCCCATGAGGCAGAGGAGAAGGTTCATGGTGTTCTCTTGACATGTGTCATGGGAATGTCTTCATTAAAGCATGCAGTGTGAATACACACACACACACACACACACACACACACACAGAGTGAGCAGAAAACCAAGCAAAAATGGTATGAAATGAAGCTATCATTTCCGCAGTTTGTATATGTGTAACTGTGCAGCTATGCACTCACATGTATACACTGCAAAAATCATTAGTGTAAGAGGCATAGCACTGTATCTGTTTCATCCTGCGAAAGCTGGTGTGTAAACCAGGCTCTGACAATATATGTGCCCACCGCCCATGTAGAATTCACCCACTACCTCCCAGTCAAACAGTCTTGGTCACCATTATTAATATATACTTTTTAACTCTTATCTACCTACCTGCCTACCTACCTACCTGCCTACCTACCTACGTACCTGCCTACCTATCTCTCTACATAGCCCTGGCCGTCCTGGAACTCACTATGTAGACCAGGCTGTCCAGGAGTACCCCTACATCTCCTTCCATGTGCTGGGGTATAAAGGTTGCATGAACAAGCCGGGCAGTGGTGGCACGCCTTTAATCCCAGCACTTGGGAGGCAGAGCCAGGCGGATCTCTGTGAGTTCGAGGCCAGCCTGGGCTACCAAGTGAGTTCCAGGAAAGGCGCAAAGCTACACAGAGAAACCCTGTCTCGAAAAACCAAAAAAAAAAAAAAAAAAAAGGTTGCATGAATAACAAATGGATTCAGAACTGGTATTGCATCCAATTAGTTGAAACATGCTGATTGTTTCAAGGTAGAGGAGGCACCTGGGAGTCTGAAGACACAACAGTGCTACGTCATTGGTAGGGTTTGACTCTTCATCTCCAAAGCTGTATTTGATATCCCCATGCTAGGCAAATGAGAAGTTTTCAAGGCAGGCAGTTTCATTTCTTTCCTTCATAGTATTTCCTGTTCTTCTTCCTTGCAAACCCTGATGTGTAACTCCTTTTTTTTTTTGAGTTTCAAAAGTAATAGTTACATTGGAACACATTGGACATAGAATAAAGTCCTTGACACAGTGCTGGCTTAGGCAGGGGTTCAGAACTGTCCTGCATAACATCCTTCATCAGCAGATGTTAGGCCCTTGATTTCCCTAACTCTGACACGTGTCTTTCTCTTAGACCGCTGTTTGTCCTGCGGTAGGAAGAACCCTGTGTCCTTCCACCCCCTCTTTGAGGGTGGGCTCTGTCAGAGTTGCCGGGTGAGTCTTCCTGCCCTTTCCTCCTGTCACATCCTTGCCCGTCCAGGCCCCCAGCCCTGTTCCTGCTCCAGGCATGAGTGAACAGCTTCCCAGGGCACATCCCCCCACTTCCTGTTTGGGGGACAGGTGCTGCAGCAGAGAAGGCCCTCCAATGACATGTACTGTCAATGAAGAGCATGCCAGGCCACCAGCTAGGGCCCCAGCCAGCTTGCTAGCCAGGCCTGGCTGAGGTCAGGTCTGTGGTCTCACGTGCTTCTCTCTGGTGGTCAGGATCGCTTCCTGGAGCTCTTCTACATGTATGACGAGGACGGCTATCAGTCGTACTGCACCGTGTGCTGTGAGGGCCGTGAGCTGCTTCTGTGTAGCAACACGAGCTGCTGCAGGTGAGTGTCGTTCTGGGGGGCCGGACAAGAGGACCTCAGATCCCTGGTTGTACCTCACAGTTCCTGCAGTCTGTAGGCAGCTACAATCAAACAGAAAATGAGCACCCAGTGGATAGTCTCTGGAATCTGGTGCTCACCGGCATGAACTGCATTGACGCATAGTGCTGGACTCCGGTCAGTGCCTGTGAGGTCAGCCCTGTGAGGTTTCTGTTGAAAGGCTCTAGATCTGAAGGGAGTGTGAAGGATCCATATTCAAGAAGGGGTTTGTTAGCCGGGTGGTGATGGCGCAAGCCTTTAATCCCAGCACTCGGGAGTCAGAGCAAGATGGATCTCTGTGAGTTCAAGGCCAGCTTGGTCTATAGAGCGAGCTCCAGGACAGGCAACAAAACTACACAGAGAAACCTTGTCTTGAAAAACCAAAGAAAAAGGAGGGGAGGCTTGTTATCCTATATCTCAAAACACATGGAGGCTGGAGGCTGAGCATCAGGCAGGAGATCTAACTGGGCCTGCATGACAAATGTCTGGTAACCTTGATGCCCATTCTCTCTGGATACTCTGGTACAGGTGCTTCTGTGTGGAGTGTCTGGAGGTGCTGGTGGGTACAGGGACAGCTGAGGATGCCAAGCTGAAGGAACCCTGGAGCTGCTATATGTGCCTCCCACAGCGCTGCCATGGGGTCCTCAGGCGCAGGAAGGATTGGAACATGCGCCTGCAAGACTTCTTCACTACTGATCCTGACCTCGAAGAATTTGTAAGCCATAGGCTCTGTGCAGTCCCATGCAATTACAGTCCCTGAGAATCTGAATCCTGTGCATCTATAAAAGCAAGAGTTAGGCTTTAATCTCAGAATGTAGCAGACAGAGACAGACATATCTCTGAGTTCAATGATAGCCTGGTACATAATGAGTTCCTGACCAGTCATGGCTATCTACATAGTGAGATCCTGTATCAAAACAGCCCAAAAAAATCATAGTAACAGGCATAGAATCAAAGGCTGGAATCACAGCATAGAAAGCTGAACCCTGAACTCTGTGATGAGTTAAAGGGTAGCCTATTTAGTGAGGTCAAGGCCAGCTGGGAATGTGCAGCAAGATTCCATCTCTACCTCACAGAGCCTGTGCCTGCCAGAGCCTGAGAGCCCTTGCTAGTCGAGACCTCTAGCCGACAATTCTCTTTCCAGTGCCTTCTGAGGAAGGAATAAGACAAAATGTTCAGAGCCTGTGGGTGACAAGAGCAGCTGTTCCCACATTGTAGGAGTTGATCTTCTGTTCCTAGAGGCCTTGGCAGTTACTGGTCAAGCTCCTTATCTGGCTCTGTGTGTCTGTAGGAGGCGGCTGTCCCTCCTATCTAAGGACAGGATGGCCAGCCTGTGGCAAATGCTTTCTTCCCGGTTCCCATCAAAGCATCTGGGCACTGGAGGATGGATGGACACGCTGAGGCATCACTTTCTTTTGCTTATCTGGCAGGAGCCACCCAAGTTGTACCCAGCAATTCCTGCAGCCAGGAGGAGGCCCATTAGAGTCCTGTCCCTGTTTGATGGAATTGCGACAGGTGAGTCTGAGGCAATGAAAGAAGCTTCTAGGCGGGCTGAAGGTGTCTGTCCTGTGACAGTTGCGGACAGTCGGCTTGCTGGCAAGCCCCTCAGTCTGGGCTCCTTTCTAGTTTTTCCTGTTTGTATGCACGCAGGAATCAGTCAGCATGCGCAGCACTCTCAGGTCTGCTGTGGCTCATGCAGGGTGCTTGCTCCCCTTTTAAAAGGACATACTTCTTAGCTCTTTGCATTTTAACTTTGATTCTTAAACTTTTCCTTCTGTGTACATAAATATATTCGTGATCAGTTAGGTAACAACTACCTTCCTCAATCCTGGTTCCTTTCCATTTTGTGAGATGTCCCATACATGGAAGGAGTGAGCATAGCCACTTTGGGCGATGCTGTGAGGTCCTCTGGAGTCAACACAGCTACTCTGAAGTGACAGTGATGGAGTGAGGGGATGGATCTTCATTCCCCTTGTCCTCACATTTCTATTTGATCCCTCACAGGGTACTTGGTGCTCAAAGAGTTGGGTATCAAAGTGGAAAAGTACGTCGCCTCCGAAGTTTGTTCAGAGTCCATCGCTGTGGGAACTGTTAAGCATGAAGGCCAAATCAAATATGTGAATGACGTCAGGAAAATCACAAAGAAAAATGTGAGGGTGACCTTTTTCCTGGAGTTCATCTCATCTTACTTATCCCTCTTCTATACCCTGGATTTTCCCTGATATCATGGCATACTGTCCCTATCCCTCAGGTCCAGGGTTGCAGGTAGTGGAAGCTGTGGACACTTTAGAAAAAAGTATAAATAGGGCAATTTGAGGTATAATTCAAGATGCTGTAGTTCTGTTAGAACACGAGCATTGAGGTGTCTGGGATCAAATATTTAGTGGCAAAGGATGATTTTAGAATTGGTGTTTTGTTTTGCTTTATTTATTTATTTATTTATTTAGTTATTTAGTTATTTATTTATTTATTATGTATACAGCATGTATATCTGCAGGCCAGAAGAGGACACCAGATCTCATCACAGATGGTTGTGAGCCACCATGTGGTTGCTGGGAATTGAACTCCGGACCTCTGGAAGAGCAGTCAGTGCTCTTAACCTCTGAGCCATCTCTCCAGCCCCTGGAATTGGTGTTTTTGTTTCTTTTGTTTTTGTTTTAAATGCCCCCCCCCAATCCAGGGTTTTAGTTCCTTCTTCCTCAGGCTCATCCTAGTCCTGTGTTTTTCCCTCAGATTGAAGAGTGGGGCCCATTCGACTTGGTGATTGGTGGAAGCCCTTGCAATGACCTCTCCAATGTCAATCCAGCCAGGAAAGGCCTGTATGGTGAGTAGAATGAGTGGTTTGGTGACCCCCGCAGGGCCTCTATCAGCGGTGTGAGTTCAGGTGGAATAGGCTCGTAGTTTTGTTCAGCATTGCTCATAGCTTAGGCCAGATTCTGTTTGTCAATCCAGGGCACAACAGGTACAGGTTTCCTTTACTGCTGTGCCCTTGGGAAACTCTTGGTTTTGGGAAAGTTGAGGCTTGTGTTGAATGAAGCTCTTGATTGAACTCCATTTTCCAATACTCTTACCAATATAGAGGGCACCGGCAGGCTCTTCTTTGAGTTTTACCACTTGCTGAATTATACACGCCCCAAGGAGGGCGACAACCGTCCGTTCTTCTGGATGTTTGAGAATGTGGTGGCCATGAAGGTCAACGACAAGAAAGACATCTCCCGATTCTTGGCGGTGAGTCCGTTGTCAGGGAAACTAGGCAGGGAAGGCACCACTCACACAGAAGGCTGCTCGATGTTGCTGAGCAGTGGATTTCCTTATTAGAGGATGAACAATTCTGCAGGCTTTTTGAACGTAGGTAATCCATTTAGGTCAGCCCTTCCTTGTTAGTCAGCACTTACCCTGTCTTCTATTTGTATTGATAAGAGCTGTTGTAAGGTCTGTGGGGAAATTAATAGGCTTTTGTCTTTCCATTTCTTGGTTTGTTTTCCTTCATTTTTAAGCTTTATTTTGTATGTGTGCACACAGGCACACCTGCCATGCTGCATGTTTGAAGGTCACAGGATTACTTTGGAGTCCATTCTCTCCACAATGTGGCTTCTGGAAATCAAACTCTGGTCATCAGCATAAAAGCACCCAAGCCTGCTGAACCACCCTGCTGGCTCTGTTCTTCTTTTTGAAGATGGTCTCACGTAGCCCTGGCTTTCCTTGAACTCTTAATCTTCCTGTCTGTGCCTCTAGAGAGCTGGGATTACAGGTGTGCACCACCACAGCTAGCTTATAAGTTATCTAGCCTTGAGGGATAGAGCTTTCCTAAACCTGTAGTTAGGTGTGCATTCTCTGCCTGCACAACCTTCTGCAAATAGAATTTGGACATGAATCAATGTGGGCAGGTCAGATCTCATCTCTTTATCCACCATCATGCATTGCTCTCTCCAGCCAGCCTCTGGGTGGGAACTGGCCTGTCTCCTTTCCTCTTGTTGTATAGCTAGGAAAGCCTTGTCACCCGACAGGTCAGACCTGGGCTGACTGACAACTGAGTCTTGAGGTGTCCCCAGCAGCTCCCCTTCTCTTCCTTCAGTGCAACCCAGTGATGATCGATGCCATCAAGGTTTCTGCCGCTCACAGGGCCCGATACTTCTGGGGCAACCTCCCTGGGATGAACAGGTAAGAACCCTGAGCGGGACGGGTAACAGACAGCCAAGTTATATACAAGTCTGACTGACATTCTGACTTTCATCTTCCTTTTTTTTTTTTTAAATATTTATTTATTATGTGTACAGTGTTCTGCCTGCATGTACACCTACATGCCTGAAGAGGGTACCAGATCTTATTACAGATGGTTGTGAGCTACCATGTGGTTGCTGGGAATTGAACTCAAGACCTGGAAGAGCAGCCATGCTCTTAACCTCTGCGCCATCTCTCCAGCCCAATATTCCAACTTTCTAGGACAGTGGTTCTCAACCTGTGGGCCGCGATCCCTGGGGGGAAACCACAGATCTGTCCAATGACTCTTTCACAGGGTTCGCATATCAGATATCTTGCATATGTTTCCTAACAGTAGAGAAATTATACTTATGAAGTAGCAATAAATTATTTCATGGTTGGTGTCGCCACTGCATGAAGAACTATATTAAAGGGTCGAAGCATTAGTAAGCTTGAGAACCATTGTCTAGAAAGTTTTAGAGCTTTAGGATGCTCTGGATGAGTGGAGCACTGGGCAGCACTGCTGGGGCAGCTGCCTTGCTCTAGCTGCAGGGCGGGCAGGCGGATGTTTCTCAAGGTCCCCACGATCACAGAACTGTGAAGCCTCCCTGTTCTTCCTGCTGTGATGTCTTCCCTTGCAAATGTTGAGTGTCGAAGCACCATTCCTTCTGCCCCTGAGATGAAGTGGGTCCTGGACTAGGCCCTAGGTGACCAACCCAGGGGCTGAGCTGAGGTATTAATGGTAGCATGGTGACTGCAGAAGTGACGGTTCAGTGGTGAAGCTCACTTGCTGCCCTTGCAGACTCATGGTACTGTTGCTTGAGTTTTCCTGCCTGGCCCACAGTCAGGACAAATCTCTCACCCGCCAGTCCCAAGCCGCTCAAACCCGATCAAGTAAACACAGACACTTATATTGGTTTCAAACTGTATGGCCGTGGCAGGCTTCTTGCTAACTGTTCTTACAGCTTAAATTAATCCATTTCTATTAATCTATACCTTGCCACGTGGCTTGTGGCTTACCAGTACTTTACATCTTCCTTGTCCTGATGGCAGCTGGCATTGTCTCCCTCACCCAGCTTCCACTTCCCAGCTCTATTCTCCTCCTTGTCCCGCCTATACTTCCTGCCTAGCCAATGGCCAATCAGTGATTTATTCATTGACCAATCAGCAACACATTTGACATACAGACCATCCCACAGCATGGTACTTCACAGCCATCTGTAATACAAATGGTCTGATACCCTCTTGTCATCCGAGGGATCCAGGAATGCACCTGGTATGCAACTAACACATGCAGACAAACCATTCATATAAATGTAATCCTTTGCCCCTCCCCATATCCCTACTTAATCCATCTAGTATAGCTTTCCCTTTATCTCTCCAGCACTATGTTCTATTTCCTTCTTTGCATTCCCCCATGTCCCCACTGTGTACCTAACCTCTGGATGTGTTGTAGCACACACATTGAAGGCTTAAAAGTTACTATGCACATAGAAGGGAGAATACACAATATTTGACTTTTGGGTCTGGGTTATTTCAATCAGGATATTTTTTTTTCTGGTTCCATCCATTTACCTTCACATTTCATTGTTTTATTTTATTTCATTTTTTTTCTTTGAAACAGGGTTTCTCTGTGTAGCTTTACGCCTTTCCTGGAACTCACTCTGTAGCCCAGGCTGGCCTCGACTCACAGAGATCTGTCTGTCTGCCTCCTGAGTGCTGGGATTAAAGGTATACAGGACTACCGCCCAGCCCAAGCTGCATTCTTTAATGAATTATTATGTTTCTCTTCCTCTACACATCTTCAGCCCCTGCTACCTCTGCTTGGAAGAACAAAGTATATTTAATGCAGGGTACTTTTCACACTTTTTTTTTAAAATCTTTTTTTTTTTAAGATTTATTATGTATACAATGTTCTGCCTGCATGTATGTTTGCAGGCCAGAAGAGGGCGCCAGATCTCATTACAGATGGTTGTGAGCCACCGTGTGGTTGCTGGGAATTGAACTCAGGACCTCTGGAAGAGCAGTCAGTGCTCTTAACCTCTGAGCCATCTCTCCAGCCCCTCATTGTTTTATTTTTATTAATAGCTGAATAATTTCATTATATAAAGGAATGACATTTTCACTATCCATTCATTAATTGACAGACTTCTAGGCTGTTCCCAACTTCTGGCCATCATGACTAGGGCAGCAATGAACATGGCTGAGACTCTACACTCTAGGTGTAGAGTCTTTTGGGTATATCAAGAGTGGTTATTGTGGGATCTTGAGGCAGATAGATCCATTTCCAATTTCCTGAGGAACTGCCACACTGCCCATCATGCCTGAACCAATTTGCATACCCACCAGGAACGAATAAGTGTTTCCCTCCGCGCCCACATCTTTGCCCCCAAAAGCTGTTGTTTATTTTATTGGTCTTGTCCATTCTAACTGAAATAAGATGAAATCTCATTTATAATTTCATTTGATTTTTTTTTCTTTTTCTATTTTTCTTTTTCCTTTTCTTTTTATCTTTTGGAGACAATGTTTCTTTTCTTTACTTTTTTGTTTTAAAGATTTATTTATTCATTATGTATACTGTGTTCTGTCTGCATGTATGCCTGCAGGCCAGAAGAGGGAGCCAGATTTCATTAGGAATGGTTGTGAGCCACCATGTGGTTTCTGGGAATTGAACTCAGGACCTCTGGAGGAGCAGCCAGTGCTCTTAGCTGCTGAGCCATCTCTCCAGCCTGAGACAGTGTTTCTCTGTGTATCCCTGGCTATCCTGTAACTAGCTCTGTCGGCCAGGCTGGCCTCAAATTCACAGAGATCTGCCTACCTCTGCCTCCCAAATGCTGGGATTAATGGCATGTGCCACTGCTGTCCATCTATAATTTGTACTTTCATAATGGCTAGGAATGTTGAATATTTTACTGTGTCTCAGCCATTTGTTTTTCATATTTTGAGGAATTATTCACTACTTCTGTTCCCCATCTTTTAGTTCTTTATTGTAGATACTAACCCTCTTATCAGATACATAATTTGATAAGATCTTTTCCCATTCTATAGGCTACAATTTTTCCACAAGATGGTATCCTCTGCCCTATAGAAGCTTTATAAGTTCATAGCATCCTATATATTAGTTATTGGTCTTAGTATCCTAGAGCATGGAGTCTGATGCTCTCTTGTCTTCTGAGGGTGCCAGGTATGGATGTGATATGCAGATAATACTTTCATACGTATAATAAATTTATTTTTATAAATAGCACAGAATCTGTTTCCCTCTAATTTTTTCAGTATTTCCCACCCTTTTATCATGAACCAAAAGTTGCTGAGTCAAGGGAGTTTATACACAAGCAGTTTGCTCTGTAGAGGCCTGATTATCTATGTTTGTTTTCAAGACCGTGCTAATGAAGACGCTACATGCAGTGGTATTGATCATCTCTGACCTGCCATGAGCTCTGATAAACAACTTTGGATATTGGCCAAGTGTGGCTAGAGTTAGAGCCTGTAGTAGGGTGGACCAGGTTTTTTTGTGGGGGGTGGGGTGGGGAGTATCATTAATCACTTAATCATTGGAGCTTGCTGAGCTATTGGTTACCATACCATGTTCATTCTTGGGGTACCCTGTGCTAACTTACCCAGCCATCAAGCTCTTTCATAGCTGCCCATTAAATGGTAGACTCTGTTGATGGTTTTTGTGGAGTGGATAAGCTAAGGAGGGTAGTGGGTATGTTCAGGGCTGGGAGGGTAGCTTGGCAAATGTGGATGTGGACAGCAAGAGAGCCCATTTAGTAGAATGCAGCCATGTGAATAATGAGAATCTGATGCCGAAGGAAGGAGTCTGGATTGTGGGACCCATGGGTTTCCCAAGACAAGCTTCAAGATTAGTGTTCTTAGGTCAGGAACACCTTGGGAAGAAACTGCAGGTATAGGCGTAAGTAATTCCATCTAAACACGATGCCACATACTTATATGTTGGCATTGGAAATCATGGGACATTGCTAACAAATGAGATGCATTTTTGTCTAGTGGGAGGCAAAGAGGAAGAAGACAGAAAGATGTAAATGAAGTGGTGGTGATTATTCTCTATCCAAGAGGATGTCAACCACTGGAGACTTGTTACATGGCAGTCAACATGTTGGTTAACAAGAGAAGTCTAGTTTGATACACTGAGCATTTGAGGTCTAGGCAGATACAGACTGCACTAACTAATACCTGCTGGTTTATCATCCATGATGCAGTCTTTTTTTTTTTTTTAAATTATACTTATGTGTGTGCCTGTATGAGCCTGTGTGTGCTATGAACACCTGAAAGCTTTATGTTGGTCTTCATCATCCACTCTTGGGTCCCTGGGATTATACTTGACCATGCTCCACTACCTGTGTTGAAATTTTGTGTGGATCTTGAATCTGCACAGATCCAGGCTTGCTCTGACTCCTCTCTTGGTCTCAGTGTTAGGCTCATGAATACTTCATTGGGTGGCTAGAAGGCTGTCCGGGATGGGTGTGATTTCCTTAACTAAACTGCCTCCATTGCAACATCTCTGAGGTGTTTGGGTCCTCTGGTAGGGGCGGCTGTAGTTCATTGCTTCTGTGTACAGATGCAGACAGGTATCTGCTTTGACACACAGCTCTTGATATTTGAATCCACATTTGTAAATCACAGAGTCAGAGATAGAAGGAGCAATCACTGAAGGTCTTTCATGGGAGGGTGGCATTTACAATTACTAGCCTTCTGAGCGCTCATCTCTACCAGTGTATGTGTAAATGGAGTTTTTCTGTCCAGCCAGCAACTCCCAAATTACTACACAGAGACTCATTACTTAATTACAAATGCTTGGCTTATTACCAACTAGCTCTTACACTTAAATTAACCCATAATTCTTATCTATGTTTAGCCATGTAGCTTGGTACCTTTTCTCAGTACATCATTCTCATCTTGCTTCCTCTGCGTCTGGCTGGCAACTCCTGACTCTGCCCTTCCTCTTCCCAGCATTCTTAAGTTTGGTTGCCCTACCTAACCTTTCTGCCTGGCTACTGGCCAATCAGCATTTTATTAAACCAATTCAAGTGACAAATCTTTACAATGTACAAGAGGATTATTCCACAGCATTATGTCTCATAGTAAAGATGCCCACGGTGATCTAGACCAAGGTGATTGCGCTGTCTATATATAACAGTGAAAGAAGACTTTCTGGTTTGCACAGGACTTGGTTTCCCCTTAATGCATGTCATTCAGTGGTAGCAAGACATACGTATGGGTACTGGGCTGTCATTAGGCATTTTGGCACAGCCTTATGCTCTCACCAGGGTGGTTTTCATTTGATGTTTATGACATGATCATTACCAAAGTACATTTAGAATCAGATTCTGGATCTGGAGAACTGGCTATTCAGTTTAGAGTCATTGTTGCTCTGTTCCCAATGCCCAATATTCTAGAGAATTATAGTTCTTTTCACTTTCATGGCCTATGTCTGCATGTGGTGCTCTTATAAACACAGGGGAACACTCATACACATTTAAAAAAATCAAATTTTATTTAAAAAGCTAGATTCTCTCCTCGCCTGACTTGTGAGGTCTCTAGGTTGGAGAGTAACGGGTTTTGGCTGTTCCCAGGCCCGTGATAGCTTCAAAGAATGATAAGCTCGAGCTGCAGGACTGCTTGGAGTTCAGTAGGACAGCAAAGGTAAGATGCTGAGTGGTCTATGCTGCACCTTCTGGAAAACTGACCTTGGCTCTATCCACGTGGCTCCTGCTCACTCTCTCACAGACTCCTGGTGCTGGGCCTCTTTCCTCTCCCCACAGAATTGTTCTGTCTCTTCTTCAAGTACAGAGTAGGAGATGTTCTTGGTGAATAATCTCAGTAAGAAAATGCAAGCGGGCTCTGTAGTGGTTAATGCTGGAGGTCCAGAGGCTGTGCTGCAGGTGATCTCTGCAGTAAGGAGCAGTGGCCAATGCTGTGAAGTCAGATGCACAGGAAGGCCTCGGAGTGCCTACTCCTCCATATCTGTGAAAAGCGAAGGCCTGTTGCCCAAGCTCTGGTTGGCCATTCTGAGTCTGGGTGGTTTTTGCTCTTAATGACCCTTTTGATCAGTAACTGGTGTCTTGGCCCCCATGTGCTTCTTCATGGTCACCTTTGGCTAAAATTTATGTGGCATTTGTGAGAAGCAGAAAAAAATCTCTTTAAGTAAGTCTCGTCTCTTTGTCCTCTCTCTGTGTGTGCCTGTCCCTGTCACCTCTAACTCATGCCTTCCATCCTCTGCCCTCTGGATTCTTCTGAGGCTGACCCCACATGGAAGCCTTCTGTGCTCACCCCGAAATGTTTTTCCCCCTTCCAGTTAAAGAAAGTACAGACAATAACCACCAAGTCGAACTCCATCAGACAGGGGAAAAACCAGCTTTTCCCTGTAGTCATGAAGGGCAAGGACGATGTTTTGTGGTGTACTGAGCTCGAAAGGTGAGCTGCACTTGGAGAGGGAAGCCGTGGGAACAAAGGCAAGAAGAGGAAAATGGGCTGAGAAGGATGGGGTGGTGGACATCTTCCTGAATTGCCCTGATGTTTTCCTGTCCCCAAATACGCTTTAAATGAGAAAGTTATGGAAAGTCTGGTTTGCCCCAGAATTCCGCTCCAGGGGTTCCTTCTTGCTCCAGTCTTTCGAATCTCTTACCTTTGTTGTGCAGAGCAACCATCTCATTGATTTCAGTTGTTGTTGTTTGGATGACATAGGGTCTCTCTAAGGAGTTCTGGCTCTCCGGGAGCTGGCTGTGTAGACTAGGATGGCCTTGAACTCACAGATAGATCCTCCTGCCCCTCGCCCCTCCTTTTTTGTCTTTTGAGGCAGGTTTTCTCTGTGTGTATCCCTCTGTGTGTATCCCTGTCTGTCCTGGATCCCGCTCTGTGGACCAGGCTGGCCTTGAACTCACAGAGACCCACTGCCTCTGTCTCCCGAGTGCTGGGATTAAAGGTGTGCGCCACCACCTCCCTCTTTTCCAGATAGTTTGTATGAACTATTTCATGAAGGTGTTAGTGCTCCATATTTCATTGCATATTGGTTTCCTTTCTGGTCCCCTGGCTGAGCAAGAACTCAGTGTAGTCCAGGCACGCCTGTGCTTCACCCTCCTGAATGTTCGCCTGATAAATGTGAACCACCGTGGCCCAAGTAATTGTTTTTCACAATTCTTTTTCAAATTTGAACATATTTACCCTTTTCCCTCAAGTCCATCACTACCCTCTCCACTCTCCACTCCCATTCACCCAATTTAGATATTACTATTTCCCCCTCCTCCCCAGCTATTCTTGCAGCGTGGACTCTGCCCTGCTGTGTACTAAGCCCAGCAGGGTTCACGTCAACTGACTTTCCAATTCCCGGGAATGCCAGTAGATTTTACCTAATGCTGGGATTCCTGCCTTCCCCCACTCTATAGTGGGAACTTGCACAGGCCTGGTGCATACCATCACAATACTGTGAGTTCTGCACCTGCTTGTTATGTCTAGAAACAGTTTCGGGGTACTACCAACCTCTTTACAACCTCAGTTCCCTCTTCTACAAAGGTCCCCGGGTCCATGGGTCCACGGGCTGGGAACACTGTAATTATGTCCATGCTGTAGCTTGTTCTGGAATTTGAAAGTTAAGTTTAAAGTGATTCTTGAGGTGTGATTGATACTGTTTAGATGCCAGGAATAACAAGGCCTGAGCCTGAGGTGGTGAATTCCTACAGGTAACTTCAGAGCTGTCGTAAGCCTGCAGTACTGAGGGTCAGTCTTTATCCTCTTCAGCACCCTGGGAGGAAGTCTCTTTGGCAAGCTCTGGCATTATTCTTCTCTAATATTTTGTGACAGAGAGAGAGAAAGAGAGAGAGAACGCGCGAGCGAGCTGTGTGTGTACATGTGCTCGTGCGGCTATGGAAAAACTGGTATCTGTGTTTGTCACTGAAAGTCTTGTCTGTTTTGTTCTCCCTCTCTGAAAACAAATTGCTTGACTTCTCATTGTTTGGAAGCCAAATACATGTGTCTTCTGGCTGACCAGTTCACACTAAGTAAGCATTTAAGAATGGTTCTAGATACATGTCTGTAGTCATTCATGGGTTAATTCACACTAGGCATTTAAGAAGCAGCCTTGCATGGAATGTAAGGAACAGGGTCACAGTCCCAGTAAAGATGCATAGCACTGCTTCCCTGTCACTGTCAGCTGTCAGCAAGTGTTCTGAGCCAATAGTGGAACTGGTCATCTGGAAGGTTCCTTTGAGCCTAATAGTCCTGAATGAAGCCGGCTAGCTTTCCTAAGCCTAGGCTTCCAGAACACAGCTGTTCTTGGTGTGCCGGGGACATGGGCCCTTCTAACCTTGTGTCTTTTCTCTCTGTGCTCTCCCAGGATCTTCGGCTTTCCTGCGCACTACACAGATGTCTCCAACATGGGCCGTGGTGCCCGCCAGAAGCTGCTGGGAAGGTCCTGGAGTGTACCAGTCATCAGACACCTCTTTGCCCCCTTGAAGGACTACTTTGCATGTGAATAGTTCCACCCAGGACTGGGGAGCTCTTGGTCTGAGCCAGGTCCCCAGAGTCACCCTCTCCCTGAAGGCACCTCACCTCTCCCCTTCCTCACTCAGCTCACCTGTTTGGGGCCTCACCTCACTGTGTACCTCAGCTTTCTCCTGCTCAGTGGGAGCAGAGCCTCCTGGCCCTTGCAGGGGAGCCCAAGGTGCTCCCTCCATGTGCACAGCTCAGACCTGGCTGCTTAGAGTAGCCCGACATGGTGCTCATGTTTTCTTATCTTGAAACTTTAAAACTTGAAGTAGATAGTAAGATGGCTTTTTTCCCCTCCTGGGTTAATCAGTCAGAAGTGATGGCTAAGATACCAAAATGACAGCTCTCCCAGTACTCAGGTTTAATGCTGCAAAATCACTTCAGGTTTTGTTTTTAAATAACCTGTGCTCCACATTTATTTACTAGAGCATGCTAGTGCCAATGTGGGCTCAGATGAACAAGGTCAAGGGGCCAGAAATGTTTTTGTTTTTTGTTTTTTGATTTTCCCTAGGGATAGTAGAAGATGAAAAGGTTTATGACTTAAGTCTTACTGGCACCTTCCCCCCCTTGCTTTGGTGCAAGGGCTGGAGTCCTTTTGGTCTTGTAGCATTTCCCAGTATGATGATGATGTCAGCAGGGATGATGTCATCATCACATTCAGGGCTATTTCCCCCAAGATTCCCTGGGCAGGAGCCCATGTAGCTAATCCTCAAGAAGAATGGAATAGAATGTTTTGAGCTCAGGGAGGGGGGTGGCCCCTCTTCCATGTGTGAGGGACATGAAGGAGGGAGTTTAGCTAAACTATTTCCCCCTCCCACTCTCCAAATGATGGGACCTCCTCCCCCACCAGCTCAGGTCTCCAGATAAGTATGATCCTCTAATACTTGATGAGAAGCTAGGGCCAGAGGCACATCTTTTTCCCTATCTAAGAGATGATGGGGAAACCACAGTGAGAAACTTGGATCTTCTGGAGATTTTTAAAACCGTTTTACCCCATGATACATTGTGTTTTTAAGGGGCATTCTTTTTTAGGGGCATCACTGGAGATGAGAAAAGCTGCATTTCAGAAATGCTATCTCAATGGTTTTTAACACCTTTTACTGATTACTGGTGCTATTTTGTAGAAAAAGGACAACCTTGACACATTTGGCGGCTTTTTATACACTTTTTATGACTCCCAGACTTCTATTTTCATGGTTAACATTTTCATAAAAGTTTTTTTTATTTTTTTTTTATTTTGGTAATGGAGCAGTGTCACAAGTGTGGGGAAACTGCCTTGTTTCAACAGTTTTGTCTCCTGTTTTTTAAGTTTTAGGCAGAAAGCTAACAGATGCCTAGAATTTTCCTTTCTGTTTGATTAAAATTGTATTTCTCTAATCTTGTGTGTGTTCATCTGCTTGTGTGTGCTGACATGCACAGGGATGGCTGTGCTCTCTACGTCGTGGAGCTTGGTCACCTCCAGGTTTTGCTATCCAAGTCTTTAATCCCATCATTTCATGCCAGATCAGGTACATCCATGTGAGTTCTAGGCCAGCCTGGGCTACATTGAAAATCATAACAAAAATAAATATCCCTACTTACAGCATTCTTGGTTAGTTACCATAATTATCCTGAAAGTTAGTTTAGTGGCCAATTTAAATTCCTGTTGATTGTTAAACATGGAATTAATTGTAATAATTGACCAAGTGAAAAGTTTTGGTACCTTTAACTTAAGATGCTCATTAGTTCTACTCATTTTGCAGAACGTTATTGCTTGGGTATCTGGTCTTGACCACAGGCCAGGCAGAACAGGAGAAAACTCCAGCTACAGGTATCATATTTAGGGAGGACAAAAAAAAAAAAAAAAAAAGCCAGGTGGTGGTCACGCCTTTTATCCCAGCACTTGGGAGGTAGAGGTAGGTGGATCTCTGAGTTTGAGGCTAGCCTGATCCACAAAGTTCCAGGACAGCCAAAAACCAAAAACAAGGCCAGGCGGTGGTGGCGCACGCCTTTAATCCCAGCACTGGGGAGGCAGAGCCAGGCGGATCTCTGTGAGTTCGAGGCCAGTCTGGGCTACCAAGTGAGTTCCAGGAGAGGCGCAAAGCTACACAGAGAAACCCTGTCTCGGAAAAAAAAAAAAAAAAAAAAAAAAAAAAAACCAAAAACACCCCACAAGCTAAAGCAATGGCTGAATAGTGCATTACTCTTCCAGAGCGCCAGTGTTTGGGTGCCAACACCCCCATAACAACTCCAATCCCAGGGAATCCAATTGCAGGTTTCTGGACTCTGCAGGTACTCACGTTATGTAGGGGCATCCATCCAGGGAACATACCCACACGTATTTTTTTTTAAAGGATAAATTTAATGTGGCTGGAGAAATTGCCCAGCAGTTAAGCACTTACTGTTTATTTTTTAATTTTTTTGGTCTTTTTCAAGACAGTGTTTCTCTGTGTAGTTTTGGTGCCTGTCCTGGAGCTGGCTCTGTAGACCAGGTTAGCCTCGAACTCAGAGATCCACCTGGCTCTGCCTCTTGAGTGCTGGGATTAAAGTCTTAAAGCCTCACGCCACCACCACCTGGCCCTAAATAGTATTATAATAAAAACCCAGAGTCAAATATTGGGGTAAATGCTGAAAGGTCTGAGGAAACGAGCCATAGCTACTTCTCACCTTGCCAACTCCTCAACTGATCCCGTTGCCATGAATCCTGAGACTGAAAACCTCTGAGTCCTCAGTCTACTTCCTGTTTCCTCATGCCTTATATGCCTTTCGCTGCACAGCCATTTCACTTCCTTCCTAGTGATGGAATTAATGACTTGTCTGTTTCCCCAATACTGGTAGCAAAAGCATGAGATCTCAAGTGCTGGGATTAAAGGTGTGTGCCACCACTACCTGGCTCTGTTGCTCTCCTAGACTGAGTCTAATGTAGTCCATGGTGGCTTTGAACTCATAGAGATCCAGATGGGTCTCTGCCTCCCGAATGCTAGGATTAAAGGTGTGTGCCACAACTGCCTGGCCTCTATGTTTAAACAAGTGGCTGTCCTTTGATTCTCAGGCAATCTTTGATACACAATATATCATGACACTCAGCTCCTCCTGCATCATGGCAGTAATGTACTAAACTCTGAACAATGAAGTGTTTTATAAGAGTTGCTGCGGGAGGCTGGAGAGATGGCTCACAGGTCAAGAGCACAGGCTGTTCTTCCAGAGGTGCTGAGTTCAATTCCCAGTAATCACTTGGTGGCTCACAACCATCTGTAATGAGATCTAGTACCCTCTTCTGGCATGCAGATAACACTGTAAACATAATAAATGATTTTTAAAAAAATTGTTATGCTCTTGGTGTCTCTTCACCCCAATAAAACTCTAAGACAACCACCATGCCCAGTTTTATGCATTGTTAAAGATTGAGCTCAGGCCTCGTGCATGCTCGCCAAGCATTCTACCACTTAATTATATCTCCAGCCCTTTGTATTCTTTTTATGTTTGTTTCAAACCACAAGCATGTTGTAGCCATCTTGACAGGAATGAACATATTCTAAAGAGACATTTGTGCCCACTCTGGGGGGGACGACCCTGGAAATGGCTGAAAGGCTAGAGAAGGCATTGTTCCTGAGTACACAGGGAAGAATTTTTACATGGCCAATGGTGTGCCTAGGCTAAGTTGACTGCCCAGAAGGAACTTGCTTAATTTAAGTGGGACTTGGCAAGTAGGTTTGATTCAAGAGAGGATGAGATTGAGGTGCTAGTTTGCCGTTTCCTATGGCTGTCATGGTGGGATACCAGAAGGAAAGGATCAAAATCAGCCCCTTATGCTATCAAGATCCTCACAGGGAACCCAGGATGCAGCATGGGGCGATCCATTTCTTTCCTGTTGGACACCAAGCCACTTCATCAGTCCTGAGGGAATTTTGGGGTCCCACCAGTCCTCATTTTCCTATTGTTGGGATAGGGGAACAGCCTTACCCACCTCACCAGACTTGATTGTACTTTCAGGGTTAATTAATGGGAAGAGATTTTCCAGCTAAGGTAGGAGCTTTCATTTCATTTACTCGATCCATGTGCCTCACTCCAGACTGGTCAGCAGTGCTTCTCCTCCTCATGCACAGTGACACAGACAGGGCCCTGCTCTCTCTCAAGTTCCAGAGGACATCAGGATCCACTACCTTGTCACCAATTCCAGAAGAATGAGGTCTCACCCCACAAGCTTTTCTCTTCAAGGTTCCCTCTTCTAATTAACTACTCAGCTAATTGTTACAGGATCACCATAGAGCTGGAGTCCAAGGATCATCAGATATACCCAGGTGGTAAGGAACAGTAACAGTTAAAAGGTATTTACGCCCCCAGACCAAAAAGGGTCTGGGCTCTGCAAAAAAACAACAAAAAACCCCAGACTTTAATATAACCATCTATTATTGTTAAATGCTCTTAACAATTGATCACCCGTGTCTCCTGGATGCTAAACTAATAAAGGAAACAGGTGCCTTAAAATAATCTGTATCTGATAGGGCTTATCTCAGGTAAAAAATAAAGACATGTTCCAATCTCTCTCTCTCTCTCTCTCTCTCTCTCATTAACACTAACCAATATAAGCAGAGTACCAAACACTACAATGGTCAGCAGCCCAAGCCTTTAATTTTTCTCATGGCTGCTTCTTAATATGTTCAAATTTTTTTTTCTAAGCTCCAGAAACCAGCTTAAATCCATCTGGACAGGTTGGATCTACTTCAGATAAGTGCCAAACCCGAATTTTCCTGGTCTTGGGACCCCCTCTATCACCCCCCAGAGGAAAAACTAAAAATAATAATTTTTTTCTAAGCTTTTCTCAGTCTCACCAGCATCCTGTCAGACACAAGCAGCCAGAGTGCCTAGCCGAGAAAGATGAACAGCTCCGAGGCAGCAGACGACAGCCCATCACCCCAGGATGCCTGTCAGAAGCCTCCTTCCTACCCCCGCCCCCAAGAGTCAGCTGACGCCCACCAAGTCAGCTGGAAGCAGTTTTTCCAGGAGAAACCATGCCCCTGTTCCTGTTCACCCACTTTTTTATAATAAGCCAAAAGTCTGGAATGGTAGGATACTGCTGCTCCTCCAGCTGCATGGACACGTGTGCAGTTTAGCAGCTAAGCAAGGGGTCTTACATCATCAATGCGCTCTGCGCGCTGCATGATTATGTGCTCATGGCGTGCTCACGCAATCAGCGCATGCATGGCGTAGCTCTGTAAGCCCACCTGTGCACATGCATGGGAATCCTTAAAAAAGCCAGACACAGACTCCTCCTCTCTGTTCTCTGTCCTCTCCTCCCCTACTGTCTCTTCTCTGTTCTCTCTCTCTCTCTGCTCTCTGGGCTTCTTCCCCAGGCCTGCTTCTTTTGTGTCCTCTCCCTCCCCCCCCCACTGCCGCCACTAATAAAGCTCTGATACTGGGCTTTGTCATGGCTTGTGACCTTTCTGCATGGTAACCGACACCATTTGTTATTTTTAAAACAGCACCTAGCCCAAATGACAAACAAAATCACCACCACCACCAAAACAGTAGCATCTGCAATTAAGGATTAAATGGGTTACTATAAAATTAACTAGGTGAAACACCTAGTAGCGGGTGGTACATTGTAAGCTCTCAAAAAAAAAAACCTACCTTATTATCAGGTGGGGGATTTATATTTCTGTTGTCATAGGTTGAGGAATCAGTTTTTAGTGCTGGAATTGAACCCCAAGGCCTCCTTCAGCTAGGCATTAATTACTCAGGCCCATCCTCTTGGAGATCCTGGAAGAGAGACCCAGGAGAGAACCCGTCCTGGCTTTGAAGTCTGGGCAATAAAGAGGCCTGTGGCTACAGTGGTGGTTGTGACAGGGAGGCTGTCCAGGCTACAGGAACAGCAGCAGCACATTCAAGGATGATACCAGTGACTGGAACAGAGGCACAACTCCACACTGTTCTCCCCAGTGACTTAGGCCAACCCAAGATTTGAAGCTTCAACACAGAAAAGAATTCTAGAACAGGCCAGCATGAAACAGAGTTGGGGTGTTTATTAAAAATAGAAAAATGCTCAGGAAAAAATATAAAATTGTGCCAGAAACCATAAATGTCAATTTCTCAATAAAGAATCACAGGGCTGAAAAAATGGCTGGGGGGGGGGGAGGGGGGGAGGCACTTGGCTCCACAGAGATCCACATGGTAGAAGCCAAGAACTTACTCCAGCCAGATGGCATTTGCCCTCCTCGTGAATACTGTGGTATAAGTGTATACATACACATATAACATGCACACACACACACACACACACACACACACACACACACACACACACACCCCTTAGTCACTGTCCTATTGCTGTGAAGAGACACCATGACCAAGGCAACTCTTATATAAGAAAGCATTTAATTGAGGGCTGGCTTGCAGTTTCAGAGGGTTAGTCCATTATCATCATGGTGGGGAGCAGAAAGATGTGGCGCTAGAGCAGTAGCTGAGAGCTTCACATCCTGATCTGCAGGCAACAGGCAGAGAGCAAGAGAGAGGCTGGGCCTGACCTGGACTTTTGAAACCTCAAAGGCCAACCCCACTTTGGCACACTTCCACCAACAAGGCCTCACCTCCTAATCTTTCTAATCCTTTCAAACAATTCCACTCCCTGGTGACTTGCATTCAATTATATGAACCTATGGGGGCCATTCCTGTTCAAACCACCACAATATATACAAATTTAAAAAGAGAACTACTTATTAAAAAACGTTTAAATGTAGATTTAAGCAAGACATCTAGAGGAAGAAACTCAGGCTAAGGTAAGACACCCAGGTGTGGTGTGGTCTTCAAAGGGAGAGCAGTCATTACATGTCTTAGCATCAGCCATATATACCATTTTTGTGGCTGTCAAGTTAATTTCAAAAGGTTGCTAAGACACCATTTTTTTTCTTCTCTTTCTGAAAAATGGGATTATAAAATGGCTCCAGAGTGACTGGGATGGAATTCTTTTTTTTTTTTTTCTTTTAAGGAAAAACATTTAGTTGAGGTGGCTTACATTTTCAGAGGTTTAGTTCATTGAGTAACATGGTGGTGTGCAGGCAGACATGGTGCTGGAGAAGGAGCTGAGAGTCCTACATGTTGACCCACAG